ACTTTTTACTAAGTTGATAAACTTATCAAATCAAGACATATTTATTATCATGGAAATTTAAACAGATATAAACTTAAAAATATACAATAATTATCAATAGAGTGGCTCTCTAAAATCAGGTGATTCGGTAGTTTTTGTTTGATAATCATTATTTTATTTAAACCATATTTGTTAAAAAAAAAAAAAGAAAAGGTGCGTTCTTGGAAGTATTAACAATCACATCCTGATGGCATTTTCTCTACCATCAAAGAGGATGGAGGTCATAAAGGAAATGCATTGAAATGACCGATGCTGAAGAAATGAAGACACAACCTTAAAGATATCAGTATGATACAGCAATTCTCTGAGATCAGACTCTGATCAGGATCTGGGCCAGGCTACTTGTCAATCTGAAACCAATCCACACCCTTTAAAAAAAAAAAAAAAAGATATGCTCAACTAAGGCTCATGATAAACATGAGATTCGTGCTGCAAAATGTTTTAGAATGACCCGTTTCAAAGAAAAACACCTATTTCTGAAAAGCGAGGGGATTATTTCTGAGGTTTTATCCTCACAGGAATAAATTAAACCAAACATTATTTTCAACAAGTCGTCAGAACAGAGAAAGGCACCAAAATAATAAGATGTAAGTTTTCCAGATGCGTTGGGAACATGTATAGTCAGGCAGTCTTTTAGAAATAAATGACAAGGTGCAGCGAGTTTCAGGTAAAACTGTTTAGCAGCTTTCTAAAAAGGGAAGGATATTTAGGGAAGGAAGAGTCCAGGTACACTATTTGACAAAATATCGATTGCTATAAAAAGGAACAAAACATAAAAACATAGATAAATAAATAAATGAATAAACAAAGCATCTGTGGCCTAACTCTAATAATTATAAGTAAACAGGAGCACAATCACAGCCCGATATAACCTGTAATGATTTTCAATGTGCTGCTTCTCATGATCAAAATACCCATAAATAAGTCATTGGCAGTTTTTTCGGGAACTTAACAGAAACATAAAACTAATTCCAATAAATGGGATTTTTTTTTTGTTTAATTCTGCACACCACTGTGGAAATCTTTAAATTAAAAAGAAAAAAAAAGAAAAAATTGTATCACATATCATCGTAGTTTGAAGCAGGTCACAGCTAAAGGCAAACAGTTTCACCTTTTAAACCTGAAAGATACGTTTTCTGTCTCTGTTAGTCTGTTATCTTTACCCAAATTGTTTGGGGTGACAGTGTTAGGGTTCTTTTAAGTTAGTTTGCATTTTTTTATTGTTGATAATTAAGTTAATCACATTATTCATTATTATTATCATTCTGAGTTCATATTAGATCAACTCAGGACCAGTAAACACTTGTAGACTGGCTGCTTCTTTTGCTGTTAGGTTGTTAGAAAATTTTAAAAAAGTGATTTATTTTTAAAGAAAAATCCTGAATCTCTGATTTTGTCCACTTAAAACTCTTAAAAAGGATGATAGAGAACGTCTCATGTAGGATATTGTTTAATTAAACCTTAAATAATAGATTTTCAGGGTAAATCCGGCTGTTACAACACTGCAGACACTTTATGAAATAACGAACAAACCAGATGAAGTTGAACCTTTTCACTCTCATTTTTTATTTTTATTTTTTTTCATCATTGAGCACAAGCTTGCATATATACTGCACATACATTCAGTTCATAGAGGGTGAAGGCACAAAAGGCAATTTGACTACTGGTTCTTTGTCAGGGTGGGCCAACGCAACACAGGGGGGAAAAATAAAACATCTTTAGAGGAAAAATAAAAGCAATCTTTAAACTAGTTTCAAGCTTTCTAACTCCACCCTCTGCCTAGTCAAACCCTTTTTATCTTCCCAGTTTCATGTAGCTGCCTGATCTTTATTCAGCATTTCTGTCAATTTCATTTTTTTTCTATTTAATTCAAAAATAAAAAAGACTGACACCTTTTAAACCGTTTTTTTTTAAATGCAGCACAGCCCTCGCTGGTTGGAATACAACAAGAAAGCAACATAAAATAAATTAAGATAAATTAAACCAATAAATTATGCAAAATTTGCAAAGACAAATAGAGACCAGTAACAGGAAAAAGAAATACAGCAGCCATGTTATACGTTTATTTTACAACCTGTGTAGCTATTTCGACTGTATAAAAACATGGCTGTTCCAGTTGGAATCACTGCACTAACAATTTCATAGAAAAAGCATGAACGAAACATTATTTACATAAACATATTGCTAAGTTATACAAAGGCAGTATTTATCACTGTAAGTCCACATCATTAATATTTACAATAAAAGAGGAGCAGTGTCATAATAATAATAATAATAACAGTAGTAATAACGATAAAAAAAGGGATTTACCACAGACAGCATTGAAACAAAATCCTCTTTCAAACAGGTCAGAAAACAGATCAGAGGAAATTATCACTACACGCACACATAAACCCAAACACATGTTGCCAATGCTTAATGAGAATCATTTACATGTCAGGATGGTACTCCCAGGGTGGGGGAGGGCACACACAGTGTTGAGAATTGTGTCACTCAGTGGTTCACAGGTTCTCATAATCGGTCTGTTCTCTCACACAGACACTAACGCGTGTATATAACACATGTACGCAAGCAAACACACAGATAAGCACAAAGAAAATCCACAAACTTTTACCAAATAATAATTAAAAAAAAAAGATTTTTTTTTTTTTTTTACTTCTGTTTCTAGTCTCTTTTATCCAAGTGTGTATGTACATACTCTGTTTCGGTGACAGATCTAAAAGCAAGGTCCTGTCTATTTCCTGGATTCAGTCTAAGTCTATGTTGGCGACCACCTGTGCCGTCATCGCCCCACTGCTCAGTGAAAGCAAAACCGACGCTGGTGCAACTTCAAGGCTACTGCCGATGGGAGATGGACTCCTGTTAAAGACCTGGCAGGGGTGTGCGTGGGTGGGGGACTCAAGGGGGCCGGCTGTTTTTTGTTTTTTGGGGAGATTTATACCCCCGCCCCGCAGTCTTTTAATCACTCACTCTTCTCTAGCAGTCTTAGTGATCAGAGAAAAACAAAAAAAAGGAATCTGTACAGCTATTATTTTGTTTCATCCTTACATATGTACACCTGCTAAAACAATAGTTTATTATCTTGAAGTGCATTAAAAATGTAAATGTTTCTCAACAAGATATCCATTCAACACAAGTAGGGTAAAGAAATAAAAAAGAAAAACTGCCAAAAAACCTATCAAAACCAACAATTTCTCCTAATCTAAAATTTTCAAAGTATGTAGATTTGACAAAACCATTATTACCCTTATCAACCGCATTATCAAACTTTTCTTCTTTCAAAAACTGTTCATATTCTTATACTTTGCCAGGAACTGCAAAAACTGTACTTCAATATTTGTATCATGAATATGAAATGATAACTTAAAAGGAAAACATTTAGGTGCAGAAATATTTAGGTGCAGAGATGTTAATACATTAGGGAGGAGTTTCAGGAAGAGCAGGGTGGGGAGCGATAGTAATCTGTGTATCAGATAAAGGTGTTCTTTCCTTTCTCCCTTTTGTCTCTGATGCTTTAGAGCCCTTGGCTGGTGCTTTGAGACACAGGCATCCTTCAGTGCGAAAAGTGTTCGGGTCGCTTTCTCAGGGCTCCCAATCTTAAGAAGAAACACTGTCTAGGGAGGGGAAGGAGTAGGGACATAATGAAGGGAGTAGCTCTAAGTCTTTTGCTGCTGCCTTTTGTCAGTCGCTTTGTCTCGCTTAGACAAGTCAGCAGGTCAAGCAACCTGGTCCTTTTGATCTTTTGTGAAACAGAAAGACACCGAATAAGGCAATGACTCCAAGATGAGATCAACAGCTAGCTCGCACGCACTTTTGATCATTTTCAAGTCAACTTTTTTCTTCAGAAAGGGTGGATGAAAGCACACAGACATGCCCATACAGAAAAAAAAATTTATCAGCATTTAAAGAGTAAAGAAATCTAGTTTGATATTCACAGGTGGAATTCAGAGGAATGCCATTTAGCAATCAGGGCACCGTGGCTTTTAAACAATTACACTTAGGGTCTGAAAACAAAAAAGCCCCTTTCAGACAGTGGGGCAGAGTGGAAAACTCCAGATGTGCGCTGTTTGACACTCTGCTCCTTTGTCCATCTACCCCTGGGGTGAGTTGTCAACTCCAACTTTAGACTGTTGCTTTGTTGGAAAGTGCTGGATCACTTAAAGGCAGGTGAACATGGAAGAAAGATGCCACTGCCGCTTTTGTCCACATGTCAAAATTAATGAATGGCTCTGTTTTACTTTTTGAAATTTGTGTACATAAATATATACACATAATATCATATAAATACATATATATATGTAGGTTTAGATATAAAATTTGAGCATTATTTATCTTTATTTGCATGCTTCCATTGGTGTTTCCACAATTTATTATTGCTGTTTTTTTAACGTCTTTGAGAGTTGAAAGCTTCCTATTAATTGTCGTTATTTTTAGCCGCCTTCACAGATTATCTATCAAAATCTAATTTTGATTTGATCTAAATGTACAGTACTACCATTGAATAAAAAACAAAACAAAACAAAAAACACGTAAGTAAAATTTCAGTTATATGAAACCTAAATTTTGAATGTTTTTGAGTAATCCTGGGTTTGACTATATACTTTCAGACAAGAGCTTTTCAACCCTAGCCCTTAAAGGTATAGTGGAGGATTTTCGCAAATTTTTGAAAAGACCAGCCACTTAAAACTCCACTTAAAAAAAAAAAATGCACATGCTCAACCCTGCACCAATCCCGAGAGGGAATGCCTGTGCAAGAGAATGCACGAGCCCATTTCTCCTTGTTCACGCTCTGTTTAAAAGTTGCTGTTTGCACCGCTCATACAAGCTTAATTTCTAAAAGAAGATTTGCATTTTTTCCACTATGTCAGACTCAACACCAGTAACTGAAAATGGGGACGAGCACATAGGACGGCCTTATGTAATACATCACCAGAATGATTGACAATTAGGAGGACCACTTATTTTGATGATCTACCCAGAAAAAGAGCAACCTCCACTATACCTTTAAGGCACATTATCTTGAATTTTTCCATTTTTTGCTGATTAACAGGCTTCCCTAAACAGCGCTTATCTTAATGGGACGTGTTTTAGCAGAGGAAAAAAAAAACAGGACAGTCTTCTTCATGGAGCAGGGTTGAAAAATGCTGTAATTGATGTTAATAGTATTAGACAATTGGTCAAAGAGTTATGCTTGGTCTGTGTGTACAGTACAGATGTATGTGAGTCTGTGTGCTGCTTCAAGATGGATTTTAAATCTCTGAATGATCCTCACATATTCAAGTATCATCTGCATATAAGGTAACTTTGTCAGTTTTATTCATATAAGCATATCAGAATAAAACCCTAATAGTAAATAGCCTTCACATTATCAAAGTTGGTTAGTGAAAAAAGATGGAAAAGACATGCGGTGCGCTGTTCTAAACAAATAGAATAAGTAGTTTGCAGATATATGAACAATTGTGCACTTTGTGGTTGAGCTTCTGGATGTTTGTTAAAATAAAAATACAAATGCAATTTGTTTACTTTCTCTTTCTGTTCTCTTCTACATTTCTGAACTAAATATTACTGCAACCATTTCAGATGCAGTGTTGCAGATTTATTAACCAAGACCTTTTCTTAATGCAAAGTAAATTAAAAACCCTAAAATTATGGCCCTTATTAAGAAACTTATTTAGAAAAGAGGATGTGGGCAGTATGAAGGAGAAAATATTCAGGAATCTAAAAGCGCAGGAAATAATATCAATAATAATAATTTATTATTTTCTGCAACGGCATCAAGGGACAAACATATCTTGAGGTGCCAATCTTCAGCAAGCAGAAACGACAAATAATCATAAACAACAATAAGAATATTAATCAAAATAATATTGTACACCCAATAAACACAATCCCCTGCTTTTCAGGGAAAATACACTTCAAAAAGTTAACTCAATAGTCCTTTGAGACCAGTCCAAATCCTGCAGACCAGTGCTGAAAAGTAACACGAGTCCAGTTTTAGTCCATAACAACGCTAGGCCTCAATTTTGTGTGCATGTGTGTGTCCTCTTGGTGACATCTTATAAAGCAAAGTCTAACGGACGTCCATTTTGCATTAAGCAGGGAACAGGCGGCCCCCAAAATTTTAGGGGTAAAGTTTCTCAGTATACCTTGCCTGCACTTGTAGCATAAATGGAAAGCAACTCCACACACTCAGGTAGCATTGTTCATAAAATGGGCCAAACAGGTGAGGGTCTCACACAGTCCAAAACACCCAATAATAAAAGTCTTTCCACTTCAGAATGTTAGAAAAATGAAACATATAGTAACCATAATAATATATAAACAACAACACAATACCTAGATCATTTAGGAAGTGCCACAGAGGCTTTAGATTGGGAATGCTACTCCATAACTTTTATACATTCAAAAATAATAATAAGAGAACAGAAAAATCAAATAGTTAGTCGGAAAAAAAAAAAAAAATAGAACTAGGGGGAAATTATTTTAAAACTCAATTAAATCAAAGTCAACGAACAAAAGAAGCGCAAAGAGATGAGCAGAGTTGGTGTCGGAGGAAATTTACTCATGTAGAAGCTCTTGAAGACAGTTTGGGGACTTGAAGATCTCTGGGACCTCGCTGTCCAGTTTGCAGATGACCTTGTAGATGGCCTTTTTCCAAGATGGGTCCACATCTTTGCCGGCCACAATGGCATTGAAGAACTCCCGCAGTGTAATCTCGGCCACTTCCAGGAAGCGATCGGGGACCTTCAGGGACAAAAAGAGGAAGGAAACATCTGTATTTAGCCTTTAGAACAGTTCCAGCTGTGCTTTTTGTCATAAAGGAATACTTTTTGTAGCGTTTGAAACAGATTATCAATAGAATTAAGATCTGGACTTTGCCATTTATCAATGGAATTTAATTTATTCTAACTTTGGAATAGTAAAAGTATTGTAATCCTGCGGGAAGTTGAATTCTTCAAGTCTATTTTACCCTCTAATGTTTCACTGTTGTTTTTTTCCCAGATTGCCTTGCCTTTGCCTTGACTCATCCTTCCCTAAACTTTGACAAGCATCTTTATCTATGCCGAAGCGCAGCATTACATTTGATGCTCCAAGAATTAGCTTGTCTTACACATAGCATTATGCATGGCAGCCAAACAGGTACATGTCAGTCTAATGTGAACAGAGTACCCTCTTTCAAAAGGTTTCAACAACACTTTATATACCTTTATAATTGTCACCTTTTTATAAAGGACAGTTTTTTAAACACTTAAGTTTCTTGTTTTAAGATGTCAAAATGTTCAAAGTTACCCAACAGTCCAGAGTTATCACTTTTCAATGCTGGTGTATATTAAAAATCTTTCTCAAATGTAGAGTATGTTGATATTACCACTCTGGATATAAAACCATAAATCTCCTTTATGTACTTCCTTAAACTGCGACTGAGGTGGCGGCCTGAGAAAAAGTAACTTCTTATGTATTCTCAGGTTCATCACACTTCTCTTTCCCCACCCCCACTGCAGTAACATGGCACATGTGACATGTTTATGGTTTTCGCTGCAAACCTGTGACCAACCAAGAGAGCAGAGAGGACTTGAAGAGCGACAGAGAGGTGCTGGCGAAAGAGGAAGTACTAAATGCTCTGGGAACGGGGAGACACGCTGCCTCTTTAGTGTCCCTGACAGCAGTGCTCACCGACACCGCGGAGATGATTAGTCTGGCATAGATCTGTGACACCTTCCCCCAAGCCAACACTCTGTCACACACACACACTTATGCAGGCGTGAGCACACACACCAGCACACACACCTCCTTGTGCCAAGGAGATGACACATCCTGTATGGTGACACACACACTTTAGCTACCCTGGTGTATTTGGCTCTTTCCTCGACTTAGAGCTCAGGGCAATGCAGCCTTCAGGGGTCACCTGCTTGGATAGTGCTGACTCTCTCCCTGCCCGCCTCTCTTGATACACGCAGACACATATTGCACTCCCTGCCTCACACACACACGTATAGATACAGAAGCAGCTTGCCTAAACGCCTGACAATGCGCGCTCCTCTCCTAGTGTCCTGCAGATACTCATCAGGAGTGTCAGGACACAGCAAGGTTAGTGGACACACACGATGAACACACACATGCAGGCTTTTATTCACACCGTTAGACACACATGGGACAGCAGCCCCCCACTCCCTGGGTGATGAATGGCGTGCGGTGTGTATGTTTTTATGTGGAAGTGAAAAGGTGAGTCATGAATAAGGAGCTTGGATGCTATAACCCAATTCCCTAAATATTAAATCCCCCGTCCAGAGGAGTAGAAGAGGATATAATTCATTGTTTGGGCTGTTTGTCGCTTCTGAAATACTGGCACAATAACCCTGGCACGAGGGCAAGTTAATGCGTGTGCTACGGCAAGTTTGTGGGACTGCCTGTGCGTGCTTTTCCCCATAGACTCCGCTGACTGGCAAAAGGAGCACAGCGCCCTGGCCGCTGGATGCAGGCAGTGCTGCATTACTAAGAATATTCCTGCATGGAATTTCTCCTGACGTTTTGACTATAAAAGGACAGCAAAACGCTGACTGCAAGGAGAAAGCAATGTCAAGGAGAAAAGGGTATTGGTATTTCAGATCCTCTTGACTGCTAGAGGGGGAGGGAGAGATGGTGAGGGAAGGAGGGGCTGAGAAGAGTCTAAGGAGAGAGTGTGGAACAACAGAACAAGGGGAGTTATTCCTGTCCCACAAGCCTTTGTTTTGCCACTACATGTGAGGCGCATATGAGCGAATTGGCCCCTGACCACCAGTGAGCCCTAACTGTTTGCAGCACTCCCCTCGCCTACCAAAGTCTCCCCCCGTCTCCATTTTTCTCTCTAGGGTCAGCTGTTGGGCCTTTGTTCCACGGGCATTGTGGGGGATTATCCAGTGTGGCTGTTCATTTGCTCTGCTGTCCGATAAATGGGGCCAATCGCGTGGCTCACAATCCTTCATACATATTTCATAGGGCTTTTTAACAACTTCTCAGCAGAGCCCAAAATTAAAACACAGATGCAATAGAAGGAGAGGCAATAAATGGCAGAGAGTTTCTCTGATGATGGCAGCAATGCCTGGAAAAGGCAAACAAGGTGACAGAGGTGATGCTGCATTAACACAACGTTTTTTGTCACAAAGACTCTTTTCGAAAACATCTGTACAAGATAAAAAAAATTATTATTAACTAGAAAACATACTTTCCTGTCTCTCTCTATCTTATGAAATGACTCTTCGAATGAAATTAAAAATTTAAGTTTAAGAAATAAGGGAAAGTGCAAAGTGGCGCACGTCAAGCATTTTTTTTTTTTTATCTGAATGGTGTAAAATGCTTCAAACTAACAATCCTTTTTATATTTCAAAGATGTAAGTGTAAGTGTAGATACCAACCATGGCTAATTACAGCATTTCCATTAGGAAAATGAATGTGATATTTCCTTTACAGAAACATTGAGAAAAGTATTGGATTAAAACACTCATTAAACACAGATATAAGGACATGCGATCCAGACCTTACTAAGAAATATATATCTTTATCCTAATAATATAGCCTGAAACCAGGTGTCTTATAGTTTATTACCTCATGTACCTTTATATAAAAGAAAGAAACATAAGGATAAAGACTGATAAAAGAATCTGAAAAGGTGATAAATCTGTGCCTCCCTAACCCCTTGCATTGTTTTCCGTTTTGGATAAATACCAATCAAGAGGGACGGACCAAAGCAAGTCAGAAAAAAAAGAAAAGTGGGTTTGATAGCAATGAGGCAGTTAATCACTCCTTTACACAGTTTCCCCCTCGGCCCAACAACTCTCCCCCATTCTCTCCATCTTTCCCTCTCGTGACAGGTTGCTTTGAGACAGAGGGATAAGCTCTTTTTCAGAGAGAGGGAATCGGATTTCCTGCTTTTTGATGAGATAATAAAATATGACAGAGGACAAAGGGAGCCTGTGGATAGCTTGCTGGGAGCTATTCACTCCAGCAGCAGCAGCTCCCGTCTTAAGACTGCTTAGACAAACGTTTAAAAAGGTAGCCAGAGGCCCCAAAGCCTTCAAATTCAGGCTACTGTTACACACCAAGTGTAGAGATACACATGTCTGTGTGTCTGTGTTTCATTAAAGCCTGAGAAATCTCCTTTCTCCCTGTGACTCAGGGTTGGCTGTTTGTTTGACCAACGTGTTTCTCCCTTTTGCTTTTGGGAACTGTCAGGAGATGTATTGCACCTTCTATTTGCACAGTGTTAGCCAAACAAGACAAGACCCTGGAAGATAAGGCTGTGTGTGTGTGAGAGTACACAAGTGAGTGTGTATGCTAGCAAGCTGTTGCCTTGAAGGATGAAATGCATGGACACAACATAAGCCCTTTGCTACAACCAGGTTAATTCCTAACTCCAATCAAGCCTGGGAATACCAGCACTTTCCATCCTTTATATTCCTCTATTTGCATCAGTTTGGAATGTTGGAAGTTATTTAATATTCTTATCCAGTGTTTTTGTGTTGCCGGAAAATGTACAACTTCACACGAAAGCATACTTCAATAGGACTTTTGTATATTTATTGAGTTGAGCCCAAATTTTCTAAACCTCCAACATACTCAGGTACGTACAGGCTCATGTACCTCACGTATCTGTTCCAATCAATAATCTACAAAGGCCTTGATAAGCCCTTGGCCCACACTGTCACTTTAAGCAAACACAACCCATGTCCCCTCTCTTGGTACCCCTCACAATTCTTGTCCCCTGCCCCCCTTAGCACTGATAAGACTGTGCCATGGCTGAAGAGTCAAACCACCACAAAAACAAAGCAAGTGACAAGAGTGGTTCCTAAATTTAATTCATTCTTAATGGTTGTTTTTTCTTATCCCTAACAGCCTTGTGTGTTCCCATGGTATATTTCATCTCCTTAGGTCTATCTCTTGTAAGGTCTGTGCTTTGGAGACTGTTGGGACGGGAAAGGGGCCTCAAAGCTGAGCAAACATCAGCCACCCTCACTCCTCTGATAGCCTTGAGAACGCCGAGCCTTGAGGGGCTGTTGTCATGTATATATGTGTACATGGGTTTGTATCTAGATGACTACTTGGTGTGTTTATGTGTGCAGAATCATTGGCGTCACATGGTGGTCTTCTCAAGGTGCACCTCCAATGGGGAGTCAAGGACAGGACAGGGTCAAAGACACTGGAAATGTTCTTCTTTGAGCATGGACTTCCACCCACAAAAGGACGCATAAAAGTTATGCACATATTTGTCATCTGTTTCACAGAATTTTTTTTTGTGCCATTTATTTAAAGAATCTAAAACTTATGTTATAATGGAAAAGTTTGATGTATTGTAATAGGATTTTTTCTAAGTCACAACTACGTAGAGCTGAATTTTACTGTAATATCAGCCTCTTTTGGTTTAAGGCTCTACCAGCTTTGCACCGACAGTGACTGAAGTTGCTGTATTGGCCACATATTGTTTCTCTTTTATTCACCTTTTCTACACTATCAAGCACTGGTGAGGTGGCGTTTGTCTGTGAGCAAGGGATTCTTGAAGATAATAGTACTACAGGTGTGGTGGTTTTTCAATTGATTGTATATAGGCGTGCGCTCAGGAGCAGGATCTTGTTGCGTAGTCAACTTAGGTAAGTAACTTTCTGTTCCCTCTCGAAACAACATTACATGTTGATGCAAAATGCTAAAACACAAGGAAGTGCCTGCTTTCCTGTGAATGGGAAATGGAGCAATAAGGTCCACATAAGGTCCAA